AGAAAATTTTTACCTTTTTTGACGGTCGTAGGTGGCTCCTGTGTGGCGGCAGTAAGCTCTTTTCTCCGGCAACTGGTTCTTCTTCTCCAGCAAGAGGCTGGCAGCTAGGGTTCAGGTTCAGAGTGATGTGAAAAATTTATACACATCTCGCGTTAAGTTAAGTCATTCATCGTATTTGAATTCGGTCGTTCGATCGCGCATAAGGAGGAAATGAATCTGAACTGCTATGCATTTGATCTCGACCATCTGATTGTGTCTAAAGACGAAACGAATCTGTGATGTTCATCGTATTTGATCGCGACTGTCCGATCGCGCCTAAGGAGAAAACAGATCCGGACCATCCACGCACACGATAATGCTTCTGGGTCATCTAATCGCAAGGTACGCGGATCGCCAGCGTGGCCTCCCACGTGGCATCGTGTCAACGTGCCTTGTCACGCGGCACACTCCGGTTCATTGAGGCTGCTGACTGAGTGGTCCTACATGACAAATTTTTTTAATTGCGTTCTAACCTCCAGTTTCTTATTTTTCTTTAAAAAATATCATCCGAACCCAAATTTTCACCCATTTTCTCAAAATTATTTTTAATTTCATCCCCAACATATTTTTTTCATAATTTTACGTTAAATTAAAATTTATTAATTTTAAAAATAGATTCTTATACACTTTTAGAATGTTAAAATTAATATCGGGCCAAATTCTGGGCTCGAGTATTACAGCCCACATGGCTCCAAGTCTCAAAAATCAAACAGCCCGGATAAATTTCCTAAATAAGTGTGATCGGATGGTCCACGTGCCTCAACACCTCTCAGAATGGATGGCCCAGATTGGTCGAAGAGAGGTATTTAAACTTTTTTTTAGTCGGCCCTTAAAACCCTAGCTGACACAAGTGATCGGAGAAGAAGAAAAGGGCGGCCGAAAGAGAGCTCAGCTGTAAAAGCCCAAAGCTTAGAGAAATGGAAATATTGAATTATATTAGCTATAGACAGAAGTAATTAAGAATTTAGGATTTACATTCCTTTCACAGTAAATCAGAATGCCCAATAGGGCTACGGGAATGTCCATTTATAACAGTTCATAGTAATGGAATAAATGGTTAAAACAAAACGAAATAAAATCCTATAAAGTTAACCTCCGCTGGGCAACTCTAATAGGGTCCAAGAGGTGACCTCTATTCGCAAGTCTCATACTGTTCAAGATCTGAATCTTAGTCTTCTCAATCTAAAATTGTAAAATAGGAGAATGAACTACACTAACCCAGTAAGAATATCACACTTAACACCGATACAGAGAACTAAAAGTTAGTAAAAAAATCATAAAACAACTAATAGAGCTATTGTTTCTTTTCAAATAAACTCGTTTAACTTAAAAACTATTATTTCATACTTACCCTTATGAGTTTCCAACATTGACCTATAAAGATAATACATGAATATAATTGTGATTTCATATTCAAATGGGTAATAACAATAACTTATCTTCTTACCTGCCTATTAGTACCTCTTGAAGTCCATAGGGATCCCCTCTATGCGTGGACCCAATATCCAAACTATCGATTAACCGAACATCTTCATACCCCATCTGGTAACAAGCGTCAAACATACCACTGATTCAATACTTCGTCGGGTATGAAGATGAATTATATCTCCGAACCCTTTTCGATATGGAACTTTTCACCCCTGTTCGACTAAGGTAATGCCTACAGTATGATTTTTTCTATATATTGGGTTCGCATACCTCCCCAGGGTACCCAATAAGTCTTTTATACATAGATTTTCATCATCAACCAATCACCAAATTACATACTAACAATCACATTTTTACCAATTAACAGTAAGTCATGCAAATAGATAATACATAAATCAAGAGAATATGATTATGATATTTATTTGTAAACAAATCAACATATGAGGACAATGCGGGTAAATAAACTAAATAACTAGAAAAGCAACTAAAATCAATAATTTAAAGCATACGATATAAAAGTAAGTATTTTAGGCAGTATAAGAGAAAATAAACAACAAATTAGGGCAATTATGCACTAATTGGTTCCAGCTCCACTAGTGACCAATAATTAATTTTTAAGATTTTTTAATTTTCACAAAATATAACGTTATTGATTTACTATAACGGGGAAAAGGGTGAGGGATTTTTATCCCGAATCAGTATTCGAGATACTACACTTTTCACTATGTCTCCTGGCGGTCCCTGAGTTTTCTGGATTTTTCTTGCAGAAATTAAAATACCCATCATGTATCTAAAAATACCCAAAAAGTCAAAATATGTTTTAAAACTTTTTTGGCTAATTTAGGATTCTAGCACGGCAGCGTCGCCGTGCTCTAGTGGCGACAGTTCCTCTCAGCCTGGCCATTTTCAGCTAGTTTAGGCCGATTTTGCATAGAAACCTGTGAAAAACCAAGTTAGGGGGTCTCTATTATCCGAAAAAGGTGAAAATCGAAACCCTACTGGCGGAAGGGTTTCCGAATGCAACGACTCTGTCGTTCCTCTTTTACAGTCTGAGTGTTTCTTCGGCTAACTTGCATCAAAACAAAATGAGAAACACAATGGTCAAAAAATTGTGGGAAACAAAAAACGAGAATGGGCTCATTGAAGGGGTTGGATTTTGGTCACGACAGCTCGGCCGAGCTTCGTTCGTGTTTTCCACCTCACTTGTCAGCCTTTCGGCTTCAATATGGGAATAAGGAGATTCAGGATAAAATTTCAAGCATATGAGAGGAAAATCTTACTTTTTCGGCGTCGGCGATGGCTTTAGTGCGGCGACGATGGTGGCCAGTCTCCTTCTCCAACGTCTGGTTCACTTCCTGGTCACTCTTCTTCTTCTTCTCCGGTCACCCCTCTGTCGACTAGAGTTTTCGTTCCCTACGAAGAAGAGTTTAAATACTCTTCTCCATTCAATCTAAGCCTCTGTTCAAGTCGACATGGAGCAAAGAGAACTATCCGATCGTTACTTGTTTAGGTCGATCACGTGTGCGAATCAGGGCTGTTCATCACGATCAATCCCATCCGTCCGATCGCGTCTGAATAAAAAATATATCTAAGTCGTTTGTGTGCGTAAGATGTGATATGGCCCGTTGGATCGCACAGGCACGGGGATTGCCTGCGTGGCCTCTTGCGTGGAACTGACGTCAGCGTGTCTGTCACATGATGCATTCTAACTTCTCGTTTCCACTAACGTGGTTGTTCCACGTAGTCAGATTTTCTCTTTTTGCGATTTTACTCCATGTTTTGAATTTTTCTTTTAAAAGCACTCCCTATTCATAGTTTCCCCCTTTTTAAAAAAATTGTTTTCAATTTCATTTCTAATTCTATTTTTCTCAAAAAATTCACAAAATTAAAATAGAATAAAAATTAAATTATTTTAATATATTATTTTATTAGTTGTAAAATTATCCCATGCCAAATTTCTGGGCCCGGGTGTTACATTAGCTACCAGAGAGATGCCAACATCACCGTGTCGGAACCCCAAAATGCATCAGTAAACCCAAATTTTCTTCATGTTCTTTCCGTTTCTCCATCTTTAGCTATGCGAACCATTCCCCATGCAGGATAACTGAAAGAAGCCATAAATCGAGAGAGAGATGGCAGAGTTTGGCTAAGCTGCCACACCAGAGAGTGAAAATGCTGGTAAGGCCAAAATTGTCCCCTCCCTTCTTAATAAAACACCCCCTTTTCACGATTTAAACTAATTTCCACCAGAAACTGCCCAAAAACAGTTTGGCAGAGAGGGAGAAGCGTTAAAGAAGGAGAATCAGGAGGGCGTAGGTCGGCGGTGCCGCTGCACTAAAACCCCCAGCGTGACCCTTAGTGAGTTCTTTTTACCTTTTTTCACAATTCTCTACATATTTTCACGTTGTTTTGAGCCGATAACCAATTTGTTTATGTTCGTCATTAATTTAATTGTGTTATCTATTCGCTATTCTATTATCATTTTATTAGGAAACTCAAGAAATTCAAAAATCGAAAACCGTCGTAAACCGTAGTAAAAAAACAATGTCTTGGACTCCGACCCAAAGTAAGAATACTTCAGTCTTTCCACTATTATGATAAATTAAAGTTAAATCGTTAACAAAGGGTAGTACTAAACAGTTTTGTGATCCCTTAATGATTAAATACATGTTGCCGATTGAGCCGATAACCAATTTGTTTATCTTCGTCATTAATTTAATTGTGTTATCTATTCGCTATTCTATTATCATTTTATTATGTCTATTTATTCTTACTTCATTCTACTTTAATTTACTTTATCTTATTTTACTATAATCTATGTCCTCTTAGTCGGCCTAATCTGTTTTTTC